CTCAGATTTCTAGTGACTTGATTATGTGGGAGGAACAGTATAGAACGTCCTAGATTAAAATGTTATCTCGTTCCTTTCAACCCTTTGCCCCATGAACCTTCTGAAACCTTCAGTCTAGGGAAACCATACCGTTCCAGCCTTCATGGGTTCTGGGAAAGCAATAATCAAAGTGCAAAGAAGAAAAATTTAAAATATTATTCTGCTGTGTGTTGCTTTCTACCCCTCCCCAGGGCTCGAGGAACATTATTTGATGGTGGGAAAAAAATAGGGGGTTGAGGTAGGATGGGAAAAGATTTTTCTTTTCTTACTACTGAGGAGAAGATTTGTTTTGTCGTTAAGGATGGTGCACTTTAAATCAGTGTCATCAAGCTTTTGCAGCACCACAGCCCTGATCCTGGCAGAGTGGCTGTGAATAACCAGCAGGCAGAAAGCTCTCCAGGGCCACCGTGCCCTTTGCATCGGGGAGGGCAGACCCCGGAGCGCCTGCTGTTTCGGGGTTTCCTCCCTCCTCGCAGGCCTGCGGGGCGGCAGGCACGCCGGGGTGGAGGACCGAGACCGCCGCCCCCGGGAGCGAGCCGTCGGGGACCGCGCTTGCGTTGAAGGACCAGATGGATCGCGGGCGAGGCGGGCACGGGAACACCGGATGGCGTCCCGGAGTCCAGCAGGTGAGGCTGGCGGCGCAGTTCGGGCCAGATCCAAAAGGCATCCTCGCAAGTCGTGCTGAACAAGCGGCGCTCCAGGCCGTCCTTGAGGGACTCTAAGCGAGGATGCCAAGGGACCGGCTGATTCGTGTGTGAGAGAGCGCCCCCTGGAGGCCGCGGCGCAGGATGGAGAGCCCGGGACGGGCGCGGCCGCTTCCCACACCTGGGTGGCTGGGCCTGACCCAGTTCCCTGGGGACGGAGATGCACGTGTTATTTTGACCCTTTTTGTTCAACTCTTTGCGAAAGAAGCCTCTGTCTATTGAATATTCTATGTATCGAATTTAAGACACAAAGCAAGATTTCCTCAAAAGCAAGTCACTGTTTTGTGATTGCTGTACGTCATAAACTTGAATAGATGAAATCAAACATTCATTGAGAGATTTTAAAATCCTTTTCTTTTTATATTGTTGCTGCTGCTGTTGTTTCTTCCTTTAGGGGTTCCCTTGGTGATAGTAATAATAATAGCTAACACTTACAGAGCACTTGTTTCCTGTTGTACTCCATTCTAGGAGCTTTAAACAGATCGATTTGTTTAATCATCACAAAACCCAACAAGATGGACACAATTTTATCTCTGTTTTGCAGGTGAGGGCATTAAATAACCATACAGCAAGCAGTGGCAGAGTGGGGACTTGAACCCAAGCAGCCTGGCTCCAGAGCCCCCTCTCAGCCACTTACCTGCCCTCACACCATTTAACATGCCCAGGACAGCCCAGCATCTAGCAGCAATGCACCCCAAAATGCAGGCAGGTTCTTTACCTAGGAGTATATATGCAAGGTTTTGTGTACGTGTGCATATTTCTGGAGAGGGAGTCTAGCTCTTGGCACCTTCTTGATCCCAACAGGTTAAGAACCTACAGCAGTCAGGAGCTCTGGGATCTAGCCCTGGCTCTATCACTAAGTACCATTTGTGGCCTTGGAGAAGCTGCTCCATTTCCGTGCCTCAGTTTCCTCACCTTCAGAATGGAGGTGGGGCAGTAAACTATGTGACTTCCTCAAGATCTAGTGTTCTATAGCTCTGAGTTTTGATAAATGTCCAAGCCCCTAACCCTGCATGAGCCATGTTGCTTTGCTAGGCCCTGGGGCTGCAAGGAGGAGTAAGATCAGCCTGCACCTCCAAGGAGCTTGCTTTCCCCTACTGGAAAATGGCCACTAGGTCCAGCCTCCCTTGAGGACAGCTGGGGGCTAGGAGAAGAAACAGCATTGTGATGTTGGGACAGCATCCTGGGGTGATGATGAAGGCAGAGCCCCTCTTAGGGTAATGGTAGTCACAAAGCCTGCAAGTGGTAGAGACCTCTGCCCCAGGCTGCTGTGAGCTGGGCTTTGGCCCCAATCACCCCCTAGATACTAGGACAATTCTAGATATGTCTAGGGGAGGCCTCAAGAGGGAAATGCTGGCCATCCTGCCAATAGAGCTATGTGGAGCCTGAACGGTCAGTGGGAAGAAAATAAGAGACATGATCTCATCTGTACCCCAAGCTGGGTTGTGTGTTACGGGTGAAATTTATAGACAATACAGCAAGGCTAAAGGCCCAGAGCCAGAGGCCAGGTCAGCAAGTGCTACTGCCTATAGTGACAGTGAAGAGGATTGTCACACAGAGGCTGGGGCAGGAGCCGCAGTGTTTGAGAGATGGCTACCGGATAAGATGAAGGTGCCGCCCTGCATGTCATCAGGAAGTAGCACTCAAAAATGCAATTTGTGGAAAATAAGTCATAATCCTGAGCCGGATCACCGCTGGGTGATCTGATAAAGTCAGTTTTCTGGCCCTACTAGGGAGCCTGAATGGTAGCGACCTAACCAACTGGCCAGGACTGTTTCCTGCCTGTATTTATCGTATGTCAGTAGCCAAGAATGGGAGGGAGAGCATTGACATGGCTCACCATCAAGATGGCAACACCGTGAGAGGGTTCCAGGTGTCACTGCATTTTAGCATCACTGTAAGGAAACTGCTACAGTGTTTAGACCCCAGTGAAGACAAGGAGGCTTTGTTTCTTTTAGTCCTCATTAACCTGGTGAATCAACCACCATCTCACACCAGATCTTGTCAAGTGTTTGTCTTCCCTTGTTGTAACAAAACATTTCCCACCCAAGCCTACGGTCAGGTTTTGCTTTTTAGTGAATGGGAATGAGGATATTGCTCTGCTTTCTCAGGAATTTCACAGAGGGTGACCACTGCTTCCTGGCCTCTCCTTGGGACTTCAGGCAGTAATACTGACCTTAGACCCCAACAAAAGGGGCTCTGGGTCCTGTGCTTCAGAGGGCCCTGTCTGACCCATTCTTTAGCCACACCTTCCATGAGGGTGGAGTCAGCAGGGTCAAGGGGACATGTCGGCCTGGTGCTACGCCATGCTTTGGCTACCCAGGACCCCAAATTCCCTGCCCAAACAGCCCCTAGCCCACAGCTAGTGTCTGCACAGGTTCTTTCCAGAATTTATTTTCCCAAGGACTCCCAGGGGGCCAGAGGGCAGCTGTTTGCATGGGAGGAATGGGCAAAACCTGGACATGTGGTCTGGGTGTCCACCTATGTGAACACAAGGCCACTTGAAGCATGGGATGGACCCAGCTTTGGGAAGAAAAGGGTAATGGACCTCAGGCTAGGAGTTAGCCTGAGGAGGACTGCTGGAGCCCAGGAGTTCAAGGCTGCAGTGAGTGGGGATCAGCTCTCCCCACACTTCTAAATTTGAACCTGGCCTTCCAGCCCATTATGAATGTGTATTTGTAAAGGTAGGAGGATAGAACATACTTAACTTAAAATGTTTAGCTTGATTTAAAACTTTTCAATGTTTAGTTGTACGGTACGTGAGCCTCCAATTGTGCTCTAGCTCTGCACCCCCAAAGGCTCAGACAGTTATGTTGGTCAGAAATGACCAACTGAGCTGAGACTGCACCAGGCAAACACCCACCTCTAGAGAGGAGGGACTCCTGTTGCTCACTCTGAAATCAGGATATTTTGAACAGATAAAACATTGTAAACTGAGGTCATCAATTTTAAGTTTATTTTGAAATGATGCTAGTGTTGTGAGTGTGACTGTGGTGGGTGTGTATGTGTATATGGATGGGTGCGGCTGTGTGTCTGCATGTGTGTGTCTGTCTGTGTGTTTGTGTGTATGGGTATACATTGATTTTAAGGATAGTGGGAGCCAACCTTTAGAGGTCTGAAGCAATGAAAATTTTATGATGTCCCCCACTGAATAATTCAAAATTCAAATAATATTAAATCATCAAAATTTATTCCCCCAAATTCTGATTTTTTTCATATTGATTATTTTTCCATTTTACAGATGAGGAAAACTGTAGCTTGGAGATGTTAAGTGACTTACCTGAGCGCGCAGAGCTCAGGAGCCCCAGAGCCAGGGTTCACTCCAGACTGTGCGGCTCTGGAGCCCTGGGCTGTGTTCACTGTTGCTATGATCTCTCCGCCTGGAGAACAGACCCAGGTGAGCTGGGGCCATCACGTTGGCTGCCTGTAAGATGGGGCTCAGGAGGCTGGGCCGAGGGTACTACAGGTTAGATAAGTGTTAAGAGCGGCTCAGACATAGTTATTAAGTAGGTTCTAAGGTTTTGGAGGAGTAAAGAGGCTCTCTACTCATCCCTAATCCCTTTGCTGGTGACGAAAAGAGACCAAAGTTCATGATCGCGCTGCTGAGGGCTGCCTGTCCCCAAAACGGAAGAAATCCTGTTTCAGTAAAGTGGAAGCAGAGAAAGGAAATGTTGCCCCCTGGTGGGAGTCTTTGGTAGTGGCAGTAGGAGGTTGACCAGGCACAGGTATAGCCCGGACAGGGAGGTAGGGGGTTAGGAAGACAAGGAAGTTTCTTAGATCTTATTTGTATCTAGCCCATGGCCATTTGAAAGGAATGTGGCCAGGCACAATGGCTCCCACCTGTAATCCCAGAACTTTGGGAGGCCACGGCAGGAGGATCACTGGAGGCCAGGAGCTTGAGATCAGCCTGGGCAATGTAGTGAGACCCTGTGTCTACAAAAATTTTTTTTAAAAAATCAGCTGGGCATGGTGGTGTGTACCTGTAGTCCCACCTACTGGGGAAGCTGAGGCAGGAGGACTGCTTGAGCCCAGGAATTCAAGGCTGCAGTGAGCTATGATTGTGCCACTCACTTCAGCCTGGGTAACAGAGTGAAACGTGAAACCCTGTTTCAAAAAAGAAAAGAAAGAAAAAAGGAATGTGCATTCTGCTTATAAAGGCTATATATGTGTCTATTGAATCAAGATTATTTGTTACATTCTTCAAATCCTCTACATTCATATATAGATATAGGTATAGATATTTCTTTTTTTTTTTTTGAGTTTAAATGCATTTTATTTTTAGACAACCTACATGACATGTTTTTTCCTTAAAAACAATGCCTCCACTCCAAGTAAATCACGGTGAAAATAAATGAAGAGCTCAAGATGACATCAGTCCCCATTTGTCTTAAGTCCTGGTGTTGTGTGGGTGACAAGCAGCAGCCAGTTATGATGACAGGTGATAGATCCAAAGTAATTGCCAAATTTGTTAACATTTTTCCATTTCTAAACCATCCTTAAAGAAAATCATATATGGCGTCACACCATCCTCATGGTAGTCCAGTAGAGCAACCATGCCATCTGGGTTCATGTTGTCACCAATAAAGAACTGGTAGTTTTTGAAATTAGCAAGGATGTGTTTGATTTGTTCTGCAGCCCCTGTCATAAAAGGTTTTACTCTTTCTGGTCTCTGTTCTTCAAGTTTGCCTTTGATTGACTTCATGTAATCTTTGATGTACTTCTTGTAAGCTTCTTTTGTGAAGCTGGTTTCCTGCCAATGATGGTTCATGACGATATCGACACCAGTTACTACTGTGCTTTGGGTACCTTCGCCCTCAGGGCCTTCAGCGGAAGCATTTCCACCAATGAGCGAGTCATCAATGTTACCCTCTGTCCTACTGACCATCTTCCCCTCCACCTCCAGGCACAGGCCGTCTGCGATCTCTCGGATCTTGTAAATGTCAGAGAACATCTCATCGTGGCTGATGAGGTCCCGGTAGATAATCACGGTGGCGACTGAAGGCAGACGACGGCGGCGCTAGCTTAGCAGGAGCCCAGATCTCGGAGCTCGGAGCGAGCGCGGTGGAGCCGGAGCAGCGCTCGGGGGAAGGGGGGAGAGGGCGGAAAAGGTATAGGATAGATATTTCTTATCTACTTGATTGTGAGGGCCAGAGAGGCAAGTTAAAATCTCTCACCTCTAATCGTGGTTTGTCTGTTTTTCTTCATGCCCTGCTATGGCTTATATGTCCCCTCCAAAACTCATGTTGAAATTTAACTGCCATTGTAACAGTATTAAGAGGTGGGACCTTTAAGAAGTAATTAGGCCATGAGGCCTCCTCTCTCGTGAATGGATTAATGTTGTTACCACAGAGACGTTCACCATAAAAAGGTGAGTGCAGTCCCCTTTTCTCTCTCTCTCTCACCCTCTCTTGCCCTTCCACCTTTCGCCATGGGATGACGCAGCAGAAAGGCCCTCAGCAGATGCTGGTGCCTCGATCCTGGACTTCTCAGCTTCTAGACATGTGAGAAACGAATGTCTGTTCATTACAAATTATCCAGTCTCAGGTAGTCTGTTATAGCAGCAAAATCAGAGGAAGACATACCCCTATCAGTATCTGCTTTACATATTTCAACACAATATTACTATGTTACAATGCATACTATGTTACTCAACACAAAAAAGTTTTTTACTGTGATCACTTCATTGTGGACTGGGCTTTTTATGTAAACCAGGCAGTCCCATTTATACTAAGCCCGTGACTCCTGCTACTGGATATATTTGTATTTCCTCTCCTGCTCTTCCTTCCTTTACGTTTGCTTAATTATTTCTTTGCACATTCCTTTATCTTTAACATTTCTGATATTTGATATGTATCTTTTCAACAGTAGACAATAGGTTTTATTTTTTGACCCAATCTGAACCCCCCTTAAAAATTGTAATAGCTTAAATTGCGAGGGGCAGAGAGGCATGTTAACATCTCTCAGCTATTCTAATACGTGTGTAGTGGTGTCTCACGTGGATTTCGTTTGCAATTGATAATCTTTTTATGTGCTTATTTGCTATTTATATATCTTCTTTGGTGAAGTGTCTGATAAAATCTTTTGCCATTTTTAATTGGATTTTTATTGTCATATTATCGAGTGTCCAGAGTTCATTATACATTCTAGATATAAGTCCTTTATCAGATATATGCTTTATAAATATTTTGTCATAGTTTGAATGTTCAGTCCAAAATATTAATAGTGCTAAGGATAAGA